AGACTTACCGTCTACTGCATCGTGATGCGCGGCAATGGCGTCAACATACACTTTCAGAGTGGAGGGAGACAGCCTTCGCTCCAACCCATCCTGCAGGAAAGAAAGCATGACTGCGATCGGGCATCTACGGGGGTCTTTCCGGCGGGAAGAGCACCAACCGACATACCGGTTCCACTTCAGCCTGTAAGCATGTCTGGTAGACGGGGCCCTAGCTGAAGCGATGGTGTTTACTACCGCTGGAGGTAGCCCACCCTAGAACCTCCGAAGGTGATTGGGCTCTCGGGCGAGATCCCAATTCGTCAGTCACGACTGACTTAACGTAGAACGTGACTGACTGAAAGGGAACTGTAATACCCTTTGCATCATGGGAATTTTCTGTGATGTCAAACCCCACATACAGTGACTTACTGTATTCTTTAAAATTGCTGTATACTACTGTATTTGCTGTCTTTGGCGCCATTCTATTGACGCTGCTTTATTTTCCTAATTTCTCACATTTGGATTGACAAGATTTGACTTACACCGTGTCTACAATGCCGCAACAGCTTGGGACTGACTACACTGGATGTTACCGCTTGTAATGATTGGAAAATCCGTTTGTCCTTCGTGTCAGAAACAGCGCGAGCGCTTGGAGTACAACTGTGCATCAGAAATATACCGGGGCATCACTTTACTGCCTGCATCCACTGTAGATAGTATAATGGGTTCTATATTGTCTTTTGTCGAGTCGAGTCACACCTGCGAGACTGGAGAGTTCTGGAGAACATCTGCGCTGTTTGTCGATGCACCTTACGAGAGAATAAGACCAGTAAGCAAGGTAAAACATATATGTACGTTTGTCTGTCTGTTTGTGTCAACATTTTTGCACACCAGTTTAACGGAGTAACATTTACCCGTCAACATAGCAGTAACAAACTTTACTATGGTAAACTGCTCGTTTCAAACAACTTTTGTCAGCTTACTGAATTACCGAATTAAAATTACTTTTACAGCAATGCTTATCTTGTATTAACATTAAGTTAACTAATGTGAAATTTTATCTATAGAAACTATGGACCCAAGGCACTTCTTCCAGTTCCAAAATGTTAAAAAGCCTTTATTCAAACATGGCTCACTCTAGAAACATTAAAAATTACTAGAACACTGCACACTGATGCATTTCGGCCATCCAGCCTTCCTCAGAGCGACTCATTTTGTACTTGACACACTCTGAGGAAGGCTGGATGGCCGAAATGCATCAGTGTGCAGTGTTCTAGTAATTTTGAATGTTTCTAGAGTGAGCTTTGTTTGAATAAAGGCTTTTTAACATTTTGGAACTGGAAGAAGTGCCTTGGATCTGTAGTTTCTATAGATATAATTTTGAACCCTACCAAAGTGCACCTACTGGGACTATTAAACGGAAGTCCTTTCAGCAAGTAGCGCTCCAAGAAGTTGTTAATGAGACATTTTGTTCAGGTGTTAGTAGTTAATGTTGGCCAGTAGCCTATTGAGAAAATAAAATCGTATGTTAGCTAGGTTAAACAAGTTTTATCGCTAGCTGCCTTTCTAGTTTTATAATTTGTTTGTTATAGTTTTTAATGGAATTTAAGATTTACTGCATTTTTTGTATTTGTGTTTTAAATGCAACTGCAATGATGCATCAAGAAAGACATGAGCAGGCCAGCCACCCTGAGACTGATAATTCATGGTAAGAGAACAATTAGGTTTTGAGAGATTTGTGTATTCTATATGGGGTTTGCCTTTTAAAAGTGTGCCATTTCTACTTGTTTTTCAGAGAAGACATCTCTGTCACTAACAAAGTGGATTGTGAGCAAAGGTGGTGGCCACTTTTTGGAGCAGCACCTGGGTTTTGCAGATGGCTATGTATTCTTTGGCTGCTTATCTTTTTCACCCCATTATGTTTCTGTTGCCTAAAGATTATTTGTTAGGATAAATCCAGATGATACAACATAATGCACTGCAAAATGTCCTAAGACAGGAGAAATGAAGATACACTGTTCCAGCATTGGAAGACTGTATTTATAAGTGTTATACATGCAATGATTTAAATAAAGAATTTGATATTTTGTAATTAATGTGTCTGTTTTAATTGAATGCCAGTAGTACCTATGTAGGGTAAAAATAAAATGAATTCTATATAAAACATTATAAAATCTAATTAAATATATTAAAATGAATTAATTACGGTAGTATAACTGATGAATTCGATTTTTTACAGTAATTTACAACAGTAGTATTTTACAGTAGTTTGCAACTGTAAACCAAATACAGTTTGCTACTGTAAATCTAAATTACAGTAACTTACTGGCAACTGTGTTGAAGCTTCTTCATGTCAGAAGCTTCCTATTATGCCTTAACATGCAGATTCTTTAAACAGTTCACTTGGAACAGAGCTGTTATAAGTATGTGTTCGGTAACTAGGTTTAACGGTATGTTAAATTGTAATGAAGCTAATCTAAATGGACTTATATAGCCTATATACCCTTTAGGGTTCTTTGTAGCCAGGAAAAAAGTTATATATAGAACCCTTTAGGGGTTCCCATCATGGGATCAATCCTTGGATTTAATTTTTGTTTTATTTTAATTACATTTTAATTACAACTTAAACAGCTCATATATCTACTTTCATACTAACACATCAAGGTGTTGTGTGATCATTTATGACATTTTTATTAGCACTTACAATGACAAACAATATATAACACAGCAATTCATAGTGAAACAGTTACAGGGATTAACATAAATCAATGTTTCTTTATTTATTTATACTTTTTATTTTTACCTCTCTAAAATAGCACTCTTCATTTTAGAAATATTGTTTTTTCAACCCCCTCCACCTTACTCACCCATCCAACATGATATGTTGATATAAATAATGTTGATTGCTAGAATCCAAAGAAAAATTTGCTCTTTTAGGAAAAAAAGGAAACACTCTTTTAGAGAGAGCGCTGAAGCGCCCAGGGGAGGTCGCGGCGAGACCGCAGAATGGCAGCTGCAGCACGCCGAAGATGAGCAGCACTGAATGGCAACCCCTGCTGACGCGCCGTAACACCAACGCCAGATGTTTCTTCCAAACACTCGCGGAGATTCGTCCTGAGAAGGCTCGGTTCCGAAGCGAAAAGCTGATGTGCGTTTGCACGCGCTCTCCTTTTATACCCGCGCTGCGGGGCGGGGTGCGCGTGGCGAAACACACACGCCAACTGTCATTGGCTTGTTTAGTTAACACTCGAAGGTGATTGGGCTCTCGGGCGAGATCCCAATTCGTCAGTCACGACTGACTTAACGTAGAACGTGACTGACTGAAAGGGAACTGTAATACCCTTTGCATCATGGGAATTTTCTGTGATGTCAAACCCCACATACAGTGACTTACTGTATTCTTTAAAATTGCTGTATACTACTGTATTTGCTGTCTTTGGCGCCATTCTATTGACGCTGCTTTATTTTCCTAATTTCTCACATTTGGATTGACAAGATTTGACTTACACCGTGTCTACAATGCCGCAACAGCTTGGGACTGACTACACTGGATGTTACATCGCTTGTAATGATTGGAAAATCCGTTTGTCCTTCATG